GATACCTGCAAGCAACGCCCAATCATGGTCTTGAGTTTACACGTGAAGAAGGAAGCCGTATCTGCGGGTACACCGACGCAGACTGGGCCGGCGACATTGAGTCAAGACGAAGTACAAGCGGCTATGTGTTCATGATGAGCGGAGGATGCATCAGCTGGAAAAGCCAGAAACAACGGACGGTCACGCTATCTTCAACAGAAGCAGAATACATGGCGCTTTCCGAAGCAACCAAAGAAGCAGTATGGCTCAAAGTGCTTTTGGGGGAACTTGGTGAGATGACAAGCGACGAAGCGATCAAGATGTATGAAGACAACCAAGGATCAATCGCTCTCGCCAAGAACCCGGAGTTCCATAAGAGAACAAAACACATCGACATACGCTACCATTTTGTGCGTGAGAAGGTGGAATCAGGTGAAGTCGTTTTGGAGTATTGCCCGACTCAAGATATGCTGGCAGACATGATGACCAAGCCGATCGCCGCTGTACAATTTGAAAACATTCGCGATCGACTTGGGATCCAAGGTGCCGCAGCTAACGAGTCGAGAGGGAGTGTTGAAAAGACAGCGGCTGTGAAGAAGACACCTCGTCAAGCTGCGTCAAGTGTTGAAGCAAGTGGAAGACCAAGCTTCGCTATACCGGTGGGTACCGGTATGTACCAGTAAGGGCGAAGTCAGGAAATGACGTCACTGGATGACGTTATTGCATGACGTCAGTGGGTGACGTCAGTGGGTGACGTCACTGGATGACGTCACTGCGAATAATAGGCTTAGAGGTAGTATTCAAAGTTGCGAACTAAGTACCTATTATAAATATATATTCACTTTGCGTTTTGCACTCGGACCAAGAAGTCTAAAGTTCATCACCGCTGTCTTTTCAACACTCCCTCTCGACTCGTTAGCTGCGGCACCTTGGATCCCAAGTCGATCGCGAATGTTTTCAAATTGTACAGCGGCGATCGGCTTGGTCATCATGTCTGCCAGCATATCTTGAGTCGGGCAATACTCCAAAACGACTTCACCTGATTCCACCTTCTCACGCACAAAATGGTAGCGTATGTCGATGTGTTTTGTTCTCTTATGGAACTCCGGGTTCTTGGCGAGAGCGATTGATCCTTGGTTGTCTTCATACATCTTGATCGCTTCGTCGCTTGTCATCTCACCAAGTTCCCCCAAAAGCACTTTGAGCCATACTGCTTCTTTGGTTGCTTCGGAAAGCGCCATGTATTCTGCTTCTGTTGAAGATAGCGCGACCGTCCGTTGTTTCTGGCTTTTCCAGCTGATGCATCCTCCGCTCATCATGAACACATAGCCGCTTGTACTTCGTCTTGACTCAATGTCGCCGGCCCAGTCTGCGTCGGTGTACCCGCAGATACGGCTTCCTTCTTCACGTGTAAACTCAAGACCATGATTGGGCGTTGCTTGCAGGTATCTCAGCACACGCTTCAAAGCTTGCCAGTGAGTCGGGCATGGGTCGGACGAGAACTGGGATAATGATCCCACTGCAGCAGCTAGATCCGGACGTGTGGCGACCATGAGATACATGATGCCTCCGACAGCACTTCGATATGGCACGTTGCACATGGTGTCTTCGTGCTTGCATTCTTGTTCACACATGTTCTTGGTTAGCTTCAGGCCGGGATCTTGAGGCGTCTTCACTGGCTTGCTGTTATCCATTCCGAACTTGGTTAACACGGACTTGAGAAACTTGGTTTGTTGTACAGTCACCATTCCCGTCTTACGGTCGTTCTTGATCTCCATGCCGAGAAAGTAATCGAGGCTCACCGAGATCCGTCATTTCGAAGCGTTTGCTCAGCGCCATCTTGGTTGACTTGAGGAGTTCGTTGTTGCTGCTGGCCAGGATGAGATCATCGACGTAGAGCACCACGAGAATCATGTCTTGGTCGTCTCGCTTGATGTAGATGCAGTGGTCCGATTCGCACTTCTTGAATCCCATCTTGATCATGAACCCATCGATTGTTTGGTTCCACATGCGAGGCGATTGCTTCAAGCCGTAGAGTGATCTCTTTAGCTTGCACACATAGTCCGGCTGTGTTGCATCCAGGTATCCGTCCGGCTGGTCCATGTAGATGTCTTCGTTGAGGGAGCCGTTAAGAAACGCTGTCTTGACGTCCATCTGATGTAGCATTAGGCCGTACTTAGCCGCCATACTGAGCACCACACGAATCGATGTGAACTTGGCCACCGGTGCGAAAGTTTCTTCATAGTCAACTCCGAATTTCTGTGAGAATCCTTTGGCCACAAGTCTTGCCTTGAAACGTTCAACTTCGCCATCTTGATTCTCCTTTACACGAAAAACCCATCGGCACCCGATGGCCTTGCGACCTTTCGGAAGAGGCACGATTTCCCACGTGTCGTTTCTCTGAAGCGAATCGAACTCCGAGTCACACGCTTCTTTCCACTTGCCGGAGTCGCTTGATTCCATCGCCGACTTGAATGTAGTCGGCGTTTCCCCACTGAATCAACGATGTAGGCTGCTTCAAAATCCATTGCAGCCGCTGACATGCTCAAGCGACGGACCTCTGTATGTTCTTCGCTTGGGACTTGAATGACGGTAGCTTTCTCAAGTGATTGAGTGCGCGTGTGTCTCTTGATGTTGCTCTTCGAAGACCTGGTGTCTTCGTTGTCATCGTCGCTCGAGTCCATGTCGTCGTCAGTTTTACCTTCTTCTTTTTCTTCGTCCTCATCATGATCATCAAACTCAACGACACTTGACTCATCGTTGTAGTTGCGCGGACCTTCATCAAACTTGTCTTCCATGAATGTGGCATCGTGATGAACTTTAGACTTCTTGGTCCGAGTGCAAAACGCAAAGTGAATATATATTTATAATAGGTACTTAGTTCGCAACTTTGAATACTACCTCTAAGCCTATTATTCGCAGTGACGTCACCCACTGACGTCACCCACTGACGTCACCCACTGACGTCATGCAATGACGTCATCCAGTGACGTCATTTCCTGACTTCGCCCTTACTGGTACATACCGGTACCCACCGGTATAGCGAAGCTTGGTCTTCCACTTGCTTCAACACTTGACGCAGCTTGACGAGGTGTCTTCTTCACAGCCGCTGTCTTTTCAACACTCCCTCTCGACTCGTTAGCTGCGGCACCTTGGATCCCAAGTCGATCGCGAATGTTTTCAAATTGTACAGCGGCGATCGGCTTGGTCATCATGTCTGCCAGCATATCTTGAGTCGGGCAATACTCCAAAACGACTTCACCTGATTCCACCTTCTCACGCACAAAATGGTAGCGTATGTCGATGTGTTTTGTTCTCTTATGGAACTCCGGGTTCTTGGCGAGAGCGATTGATCCTTGGTTGTCTTCATACATCTTGATCGCTTCGTCGCTTGTCATCTCACCAAGTTCCCCCAAAAGCACTTTGAGCCATACTGCTTCTTTGGTTGCTTCGGAAAGCGCCATGTATTCTGCTTCTGTTGAAGATAGCGCGACCGTCCGTTGTTTCTGGCTTTTCCAGCTGATGCCTCCTCCGCTCATCATGAACACATAGCCGCTTGTACTTCGTCTTGACTCAATGTCGCCGGCCCAGTCTGCGTCGGTGTACCCGCAGATACGGCTTCCTTCTTCACGTGTAAACTCAAGACCATGATTGGGCGTTGCTTGCAGGTATCTCAGCACACGCTTCAAAGCTTGCCAGTGAGTCGGGCATGGGTCGGACGAGAACTGGGATAATGATCCCACTGCAGCAGCTAGATCCGGACGTGTGGCGACCATGAGATACATGATGCCTCCGACAGCACTTCGATATGGCACGTTGCACATGGTGTCTTCGTGCTTGCATTCTTGTTCACACATGTTCTTGGTTAGCTTCAGGCCGGGATCTTGAGGCGTCTTCACTGGCTTGCTGTTATCCATTCCGAACTTGGTTAACACGGACTTGAGAAACTTGGTTTGTTGTACAGTCACCATTCCCGTCTTACGGTCGTTCTTGATCTCCATGCCGAGAAAGTAATCGAGCTCACCGAGATCCGTCATTTCGAAGCGTTTGCTCAGCGCCATCTTGGTTGACTTGAGGAGTTCGTTGTTGCTGCTGGCCAGGATGAGATCATCGACGTAGAGCACCACGAGAATCATGTCTTGGTCGTCTCGCTTGATGTAGATGCAGTGGTCCGATTCGCACTTCTTGAATCCCATCTTGATCATGAACCCATCGATTGTTTGGTTCCACATGCGAGGCGATTGCTTCAAGCCGTAGAGTGATCTCTTTAGCTTGCACACATAGTCCGGCTGTGTTGCATCCAGGTATCCGTCCGGCTGGTCCATGTAGATGTCTTCGTTGAGGGAGCCGTTAAGAAACGCTGTCTTGACGTCCATCTGATGTAGCATTAGGCCGTACTTAGCCGCCATACTGAGCACCACACGAATCGATGTGAACTTGGCCACCGGTGCGAAAGTTTCTTCATAGTCAACTCCGAATTTCTGTGAGAATCCTTTGGCCACAAGTCTTGCCTTGAAACGTTCAACTTCGCCATCTTGATTCTCCTTTACACGAAAAACCCATCGGCACCCGATGGCCTTGCGACCTTTCGGAAGAGGCACGATTTCCCACGTGTCGTTTCTCTGAAGCGAATCGAACTCCGAGTCACACGCTTCTTTCCACTTGCCGGAGTCGCTTGATTCCATCGCCGACTTGAATGTAGTCGGCGTTTCCCCCACTGAATCAACGATGTAGGCTGCTTCAAAATCCATTGCAGCCGCTGACACATGCTCAAGCGACGGACCTCTGTATGTTCTTCGCTTGGGACTTGGAATGACGGTAGCTTTCTCAAGTGATTGAGTGCGCGTGTGTCTCTTGATGTTGCTCTTCGAAGACCTGGTGTCTTCGTTGTCATCGTCGCTCGAGTCCATGTCGTCGTCAGTTTTACCTTCTTCTTTTTCTTCGTCCTCATCATGATCATCAAACTCAACGACACTTGACTCATCGTTGTAGTTGCGCGGACCTTCATCAAACTTGTCTTCCATGAATGTGGCATCGTGATGAACTTTAGACTTCTTGGTCCGAGTGCAAAACGCAAAGTGAATATATATTTATAATAGGTACTTAGTTCGCAACTTTGAATACTACCTCTAAGCCTATTATTCGCAGTGACGTCACCCACTGACGTCACCCACTGACGTCACCCACTGACGTCATGCAATGACGTCATCCAGTGACGTCATTTCCTGACTTCGCCCTTACTGGTACATACCGGTACCCACAGGTATAGCGAAGCTTGGTCTTCCACTTGCTTCAACACTTGACGCAGCTTGACGAGGTGTCTTCTTCACAGCCGCTGTCTTTTCAACACTCCCTCTCGACTCGTTAGCTGCGGCACCTGTGGATCCCAAGTCGATCGCGAATGTTTTCAAATTGTACAGCGGCGATCGGCTTGGTCATCATGTCTGCCAGCATATCTTGAGTCGGGCAATACTCCAAAACGACTTCACCTGATTCCACCTTCTCACGCACAAAATGGTAGCGTATGTCGATGTGTTTTGTTCTCTTATGGAACTCCGGGTTCTTGGCGAGAGCGATTGATCCTTGGTTGTCTTCATACATCTTGATCGCTTCGTCGCTTGTCATCTCACCAAGTTCCCCCAAAAGCACTTTGAGCCATACTGCTTCTTTGGTTGCTTCGGAAAGCGCCATGTATTCTGCTTCTGTTGAAGATAGCGCGACCGTCCGTTGTTTCTGGCTTTTCCAGCTGATGCATCCTCCGCTCATCATGAACACATAGCCGCTTGTACTTCGTCTTGACTCAATGTCGCCGGCCCAGTCTGCGTCGGTGTACCCGCAGATACGGCTTCCTTCTTCACGTGTAAACTCAAGACCATGATTGGGCGTTGCTTGCAGGTATCTCAGCACACGCTTCAAAGCTTGCCAGTGAGTCGGGCATGGGTCGGACGAGAACTGGGATAATGATCCCACTGCAGCAGCTAGATCCGGACGTGTGGCGACCATGAGATACATGATGCCTCCGACAGCACTTCGATATGGCACGTTGCACATGGTGTCTTCGTGCTTGCATTCTTGTTCACACATGTTCTTGGTTAGCTTCAGGCCGGGATCTTGAGGCGTCTTCACTGGCTTGCTGTTATCCATTCCGAACTTGGTTAACACGGACTTGAGAAACTTGGTTTGTTGCACAGTCACCATTCCCGTCTTACGGTCGTTCTTGATCTCCATGCCGAGAAAGTAATCGAGCTCACCGAGATCCGTCATTTCGAAGCGTTTGCTCAGCGCCATCTTGGTCGACTTGAGGAGTTCGTTGTTGCTGCTGGCCAGGATGAGATCATCGACGTAGAGCACCACGAGAATCATGTCTTGGTCGTCTCGCTTGATGTAGATGCAGTGGTCCGATTCGCACTTCTTGAATCCCATCTTGATCATGAACCCATCGATTGTTTGGTTCCACATGCGAGGCGATTGCTTCAAGCCGTAGAGTGATCTCTTTAGCTTGCACACATAGTCCGGCTGTGTTGCATCCAGGTATCCGTCCGGCTGGTCCATGTAGATGTCTTCGTTGAGGGAGCCGTTAAGAAACGCTGTCTTGACGTCCATCTGATGTAGCATTAGGCCGTACTTAGCCGCCATACTGAGCACCACACGAATCGATGTGAACTTGGCCACCGGTGCGAAAGTTTCTTCATAGTCAACTCCGAATTTCTGTGAGAATCCTTTGGCCACAAGTCTTGCCTTGAAACGTTCAACTTCGCCATCTTGATTCTCCTTTACACGAAAAACCCATCGGCACCCGATGGCCTTGCGACCTTTCGGAAGAGGCACGATTTCCCACGTGTCGTTTCTCTGAAGCGAATCGAACTCCGAGTCACACGCTTCTTTCCACTTGCCGGAGTCGCTTGATTCCATCGCCGACTTGAATGTAGTCGGCGTTTCCCCCACTGAATCAACGATGTAGGCTGCTTCAAAATCCATTGCAGCCGCTGACACATGCTCAAGCGACGGACATCTGTACGTTCTTCGCTTGGGACTTGGAATGAAGGTAGCTTTCTCAAGTGATTGAGTGCGCGTGTGTCTCTTGATGTTGCTCTTCGAAGACCTGGTGTCTTCGTTGTCATCGTCGCTCGAGTCCATGTCGTCGTCAGTTTTACCTTCTTCTTTTTCTTCGTCCTCATCATGATCATCAAACTCAACGACACTTGACTCATCGTTGTAGTTGCGCGGACCTTCATCAAACTTGTCTTCCATGAATGTGGCATCGCGACTGATCTTGATCGCTCCTGTTGACACTTCCTCAAATCGATATGACTTCTGGTGTTCGGCGTATCCCAGGAAACGACAGAGTGATGACTTGGAGTCGAACTTCGCGCGTTTGTCTTGAGGCACTTGAACATACGCGTGGCATCCAAACACTTTAAGGTTGGCCAGAATCGGTTTCTTCATCGTCCACACTTGATATGGAGACTTGTCTTGGTGAATGGCACGTGTTGGACAGCGGTTTCGAAGAAACATCGCCGTCATCACTGCTTCACCCCAGTAGCTCTTTCCCAGTCCAGCGTGTTCCATCATGCAACGCGCACACTCGACCAGCGTGCGATTCATTCTCTCAGCTACTCCGTTTAGCTGAGGAGTATATGGGGGTGTGAACCTTTGTTGTATTCCCCGTTCCGCGCAGAATCGTGCCAGCTTGTCGGACTTGTATTCACCCCCATTGTCGCTTTGAAGGTACTTCACGCGCTTTCCGGTTTGCGTTTCGGCCATCGCAGCGTATTCCATGAACTTCGCCGCAACTTCAGATTTGCTCTTGAGCAGATAGACGACACAGTATCTTGACTTGTCATCAATGAATGTCACGAAGTACCGTTTTCCACTGAAAGTTGCCATCGACATCGGTCCGCATACGTCGCTGTGAATCACTTCGAGGAGTTTGGAGGTGCGAGCTGTAGTGTTTGATTGGAAGCGCACTCGAGTCTGTTTTCCCAGAGCACAACCTTCACACACGTCCCACTTCTTCACCGAAGATATGTCGATGCCAATTCCAATGTTCTTCGTCACGATGCAATTGAGTCCATCGTGACCTATGTGGCCAAGCCGAAGGTGCCAGAGGTACGACTTGGTGCCCCCTTGACATCCCGACGACTTGGCTGCATTTGCTTGTTCCGGCGCCACTGGAGTCATTTGCAGCTTGAACAGTCCTTTACCTTCACGGGCACCAATTTTCCACTTGGTCCCTTTCGCTTCTCCATAGCACCCATCCTTCGTGAACGTCACTGGGCCGACATCCTTGGTGAAGCGGCCGACCGAGAACAGGTTTCTGGATAACTTTGGGATGTGCCACACGTTTGTGAGCACACCTTTCTTCATCCCTTGGGGTGTCTTCATCGACATGACAATGTCCCCACTGCCGATTGCTTGGACGATTCCATCATCCGCGAGATGGACATCCACAGCGTCAAACCCCTTGTAGTTCCGCATGAACTTCTTGGAGCACGTCATGTGCTGCGTCGCCCCGGAGTCGACCAGCCAGATGTCGCTCGATTTCGCAGATGTCGTTTCACCGATCGAAAAGAGGTAGTCGCCCGAGTCTTCTTCTTGAGCGACGTTTGCACGTTGTGATCGATAGCGGTCGCCGCTGTCTTGAGCACGCTGTGGCCGGTGTCTCTCCGTGTTTTCTTGGATGCGCGAGGGGCACTCCGCCATCCAGTGACCAATCTTTCCGCAATTGTGGCACGGCCAGGACTTCTTCACTGGTCGCCCTTTGCGCTGATTGTCCCTTGTGATGAACGCTTGACCTTGCGAAGCTTCATCACCTTTACTTCCTTGCTCCTTCCGCTTCATTTCTTCATGAAGCAGTCGAGACGTCACGAGCTCCCAGCTAAGAGTGTCTGAGCGCGACTCCAAAGCTGTGATCAAGAATTGATACGAGTCACTCAGGCTGCCGAGGAGTGTGATCACCAGATCGTCCTCGCAGACTGGAGCCCCCACCGCTTCTAGCTGTTCCGCCAGCGTCTTGAGCTTGTTGATGTGTTCGAGCACATCGTCGCCTTCTTCCATCATTGTCGTGAAGAAGCGACGGCGCAAGAACAGCTTGTTGGCAAGACTCTTCTTCTCGAAGCGGTCTTCCAACCTTGACCATGCGTCGAATGCACCACTTGCCGACCGGACCAACGGTAGCTGGGAATCTTCCATGGCTAGACAGATCACTGCCATCGCCTTTCTTGACTTCCTCTTGTATGTCGCTTGGTCCAACTGAGTCTCGCACTGTTCCGCCTTGATCTCACCGCTGACGACCTCCCATAGGTCCCGTTCCTCCAGCACCATCTGCATCTTGAACTTCCAGGCGTGGAAGTTAGTTCCATCGAACTTGGAGATGCGGAGGGAGGAGGCGTCCATGGCAGCTAAGCTTGAATTGTTGGCGGTTTCAGAGTCTGACGAACTTGGGCTCATAACCTGATGAACTTTAGACTTCTTGGTCCGAGTGCAAAACGCAAAGTGAATATATATTTATAATAGGTACTTAGTTCGCAACTTTGAATACTACCTCTAAGCCTATTATTCGCAGTGACGTCACCCACTGACGTCACCCACTGACGTCATGCAATGACGTCATCCAGTGACGTCATTTCCTGACTTCGCCCTTACTGGTACATACCGGTACCCACTGGTATAGCGAAGCTTGGTCTTCCACTTGCTTCAACACTTGACGCAGCTTGACGAGGTGTCTTCTTCACAGCCGCTGTCTTTTCAACACATCGCGACTGATCTTGATCGCTCCTGTTGACACTTCCTCAAATCGATATGACTTCTGGTGTTCGGCGTATCCCAGGAAACGACAGAGTGATGACTTGGAGTCGAACTTCGCGCGTTTGTCTTGAGGCACTTGAACATACGCGTGGCATCCAAACACTTTAAGGTTGGCCAGAATCGGTTTCTTCATCGTCCACACTTGATATGGAGACTTGTCTTGGTGAATGGCACGTGTTGGACAGCGGTTTCGAAGAAACATCGCCGTCATCACTGCTTCACCCCAGTAGCTCTTTCCCAGTCCAGCGTGTTCCATCATGCAACGCGCACACTCGACCAGCGTGCGATTCATTCTCTCAGCTACTCCGTTTAGCTGAGGAGTATATGGGGGTGTGAACCTTTGTTGTATTCCCCGTTCCGCGCAGAATCGTGCCAGCTTGTCGGACTTGTATTCACCCCCATTGTCGCTTTGAAGGTACTTCACGCGCTTTCCGGTTTGTTTTCGGCCATCGCAGCGTATTCTATGAACTTCGCCGCAACTTCAGATTTGCTCTTGAGCAGATAGACGACACAGTATCTTGACTTGTCATCAATGAATGTCACGAAGTACCGTTTTCCACTGAAAGTTGCCATCGACATCGGTCCGCATACGTCGCTGTGAATCACTTCGAGGAGTTTGGAGGTGCGAGCTGTAGTGTTTGATTGGAAGCGCACTCGAGTCTGTTTTCCCAGAGCACAACCTTCACACACGTCCCACTTCTTCACCGAAGATATGTCGATGCCAATTCCAATGTTCTTCGTCACGATGCAATTGAGTCCATCGTGACCTATGTGGCCAAGCCGAAGGTGCCAGAGGTACGACTTGGTGCCCCCTTGACATCCCGACGACTTGGCTGCATTTGCTTGTTCCGGCGCCACTGGAGTCATTTGCAGCTTGAACAGTCCTTTACCTTCACGGGCACCAATTTTCCACTTGGTCCCTTTCGCTTCTCCATAGCACCCATCCTTCGTGAACGTCACTGGGCCGACATCCTTGGTGAAGCGGCCGACCGAGAACAGGTTTCTGGATAACTTTGGGATGTGCCACACGTTTGTGAGCACACCTTTCTTCATCCCTTGGGGTGTCTTCATCGACATGACAATGTCCCCACTGCCGATTGCTTGGACGATTCCATCATCCGCGAGATGGACATCCACAGCGTCAAACCCCTTGTAGTTCCGCATGAACTTCTTGGAGCACGTCATGTGCTGCGTCGCCCCGGAGTCGACCAGCCAGATGTCGCTCGATTTCGCAGATGTCGTTTCACCGATCGAAAAGAGGTAGTCGCCCGAGTCTTCTTCTTGAGCGACGTTTGCACGTTGTGATCGATAGCGGTCGCCGCTGTCTTGAGCACGCTGTGGCCGGTGTCTCTCCGTGTTTTCTTGGATGCGCGAGGGGCACTCCGCCATCCAGTGACCAATCTTTCCGCAATTGTGGCACGGCCAGGACTTCTTCACTGGTCGCCCTTTGCGCTGATTGTCCCTTGTGATGAACGCTTGACCTTGCGAAGCTTCATCACCTTTACTTCCTTGCTCCTTCCGCTTCATTTCTTCATGAAGCAGTCGAGACGTCACGAGCTCCCAGCTAAGAGTGTCTGAGCGCGACTCCAAAGCTGTGATCAAGAATTGATACGAGTCACTCAGGCTGCCGAGGAGTGTGATCACCAGATCGTCCTCGCAGACTGGAGCCCCCACCGCTTCTAGCTGTTCCGCCAGCGTCTTGAGCTTGTTGATGTGTTCGAGCACATCGTCGCCTTCTTCCATCATTGTCGTGAAGAAGCGACGGCGCAAGAACAGCTTGTTGGCAAGACTCTTCTTCTCGAAGTGGTCTTCCAACCTTGACCATGCGTCGCATGCACCACTTGCCGACCGGACCAACGGTAGCTGGGAATCTTCCATGGCTAGACAGATCACTGCCATCGCCTTTCTTGACTTCCTCTTGTACGTCGCTTGGTCCAACTGAGTCTCGCACTGTTCCGCCTTGATCTCACCGCTGACGACCTCCCATAGGTCCCGTTCCTCCAGCACCATCTGCATCTTGAACTTCCAGGCGTGGAAGTTAGTTCCATCGAACTTGGAGATGCGGAGGGAGGAGGCGTCCATGGCAGCTAAGCTTGAATTGTTGGCGGTTTCAGAGTCTGACGAACTTGGGCTCATAACCTGATGAACTTTAGACTTCTTGGTCCGAGTGCAAAACGCAAAGTGAATATATATTTATAATAGGTACTTAGTTCGCAACTTTGAATACTACCTCTAAGCCTATTATTCGCAGTGACGTCATCCAGTGACGTCACCCACTGACGTCACCCACTGACGTCATGCAATGACGTCATCCAGTGACGTCATTTCCTGACTTCGCCCTTACTGGTACATACCGGTACCCACCGGTATAGCGAAGCTTGGTCTTCCACTTGCTTCAACACTTGACGCAGCTTGACGAGGTGTCTTCTTCATAGCCGCTGTCTTTTCAACAGAAGCAGCCTACATCGTTGATTCAGTGGGGGAAACGCTGACTACATTCAAGTCGGCGATGGAATCAAGCGACTCCGGCAAGTGGAAAGAAGCGTGCGACTCGGAGTTCGACTCGCTTCAGAGAAACGACACGTGGGAAATCGTGCCTCTTCCGAAAGGTCGCAAGGCCATCGGGTGCCGATGGGTTTTTCGTGTAAAGGAGAATCAAGATGGCGAAGTTGAAATTTTCAAGGCAAGACTTGTGGCCAAACGATTCTCACAGAAATTCGGAGTTGACTATGAAGAAACTTTCGCACCGGTGGCCAAGTTCACATCGATTCGTGTGGTGCTCAGTATGGCGGCCAAGTACGGCCTAATGCTACATCAGATGGACGTCAAGACAGCGTTTCTTAACGGCTCCCTCAACGAAGACATCTACATGGACCAGCCGGACGGATACCTGGATGCAACACAGCCGGACTATGTGTGCAAGCTAAAGAGATCACTCTACGGCTTGAAGCAATCGCCTCGCATGTGGAACCAAACAATCGATGGGTTCATGATCAAGATGGGATTCAAGAAGTGCGAATCGGACCACTGCATCTACATCAAGCGAGACGACCAAGACATGATTCTCGTGGTGCTCTACGTCGATGATCTCATCCTGGCCAGCAGCAACAACGAACTCCTCAAGTCGACCAAGATGGCGCTGAGCAAACGCTTCGAAATGACGGATCTCGGTGAGCTCGATTACTTTCTCGGCATGGAGATCAAGAACGACCGTAAGACGGGAATGGTGACTGTGCAACAAACCAAGTTTCTCAAGTCCGTGTTGACCAAGTTCGGAATGGATAACAGCAAGCCAGTGAAGACGCCTCAAGATCCCGGCCTGAAGCTAACCAAGAACATGTGTGAACAAGAATGCAAGCACGAAGACACCATGTGCAACGTGCCATATCGAAGTGCTGTCGGAGGCATCATGTATCTCATGGTCGCCACACGTCCGGATCTAGCTGCTGCAGTGGGATCATTATCCCAGTTCTCGTCCGACCCATGCCCGACTCACTGGCAAGCTTTGAAGCGTGTGCTGAGATACCTGCAAGCAACGCCCAATCATGGTCTTGAGTTTACACGTGAAGAAGGAAGCCGTATCTGCGGGTACACCGACGCAGACTGGGCCGGCGACATTGAGTCAAGACGAAGTACAAGCGGCTATGTGTTCATGATGAACGGAGGATGCATCAGCTGGAAAAGCCAGAAACAACGGACGGTCGCGCTATCTTCAACAGAAGCAGAATACATGGCGCTTTCCGAAGCAACCAAAGAAGCAGTATGGCTCAAGGTGCTTTTGGGGGAACTTGGTGAGATGACAAGCGACGAAGCGATCAAGATGTATGAAGACAACCAAGGATCAATCGCTCTCGCCAAGAACCCGGAGTTCCATAAGAGAACAAAACACATCGACATACGCTACCATTTTGTGCGTGAGAAGGTGGAATCAGGTGAAGTCGTTTTGGAGTATTGCCCGACTCAAGATATGCTGGCAGACATGATGACCAAGCTGATCGCCGCTGCACAATTTGAAAACATTCGCGATCGACTTGGGATCCAAGGTGCCGCAGCTAACGAGTCGAGAGGGAGTGTTGAAAAGACAGCGGCTGTGAAGAAGACACCTCGTCAAGCTGCGTCAAGTGTTGAAGCAAGTGGAAGACCAAGCTTCGCTATACCGGTGGGTACCGGTATGTACCAGTAAGGGCGAAGTCAGGAAATGACGTCACTGGATGACGTCATTGCATGACGTCAGTGGGTGACGTCAGTGGGTGACGTCACTGGATGACGTCACTGCGAATAATAGGCTTAGAGGTAGTATTCAAAGTTGCGAACTAAGTACCTATTATAAATATATATTCACTTTGCGTTTTGCACTCGGACCAAGAAGTCTAAAGTTCATCAGGATTCTCACAGAAATTCGGAGTTGACTATGAAGAAACTTTCGCACCGGTGGCCAAGTTCACATCGATTCGTGTGGTGCTCAGTATGGCGGCTAAGTACGGCCTAATGCTACATCAGATGGACGTCAAGACAGCGTTTCTTAACGGCTCCCTCAACGAAGACATCTACATGGACCAGCCGGACGGATACCTGGATGCAACACAGCCGGACTATGTGTGCAAGCTAAAGAGATCACTCTACGGCTTGAAGCAATCGCTTCGCATGTGGAACCAAACAATCGATGGGTTCATGATCAAGATGGGATTCAAGAAGTGCGAATCGGACCACTGCATCTACATCAAGCGAGACGACCAAGACATGATTCTCGTGGTGCTCTACGTCGATGATCTCATCCTGGCCAGCAGCAACAACGAACTCCTCAAGTCAACCAAGATGGCGCTGAGCAAACGCTTCGAAATGACGGATCTCGGTGAGCTCGATTACTTTCTCGGCATGGAGATCAAGAACGACCGTAAGACGGGAATGGTGACTGTACAACAAACCAAGTTTCTCAAGTCCGTGTTAACCAAGTTCGGAATGGATAACAGCAAGCCAGTGAAGACGCCTCAAGATCCCGGCCTGAAGCTAACCAAGAACATGTGTGAACAAGAATGCAAGCACGAAGACACCATGTGCAACGTGCCATATCGAAGTGCTGTCGGAGGCATCATGTATCTCATGGTCGCCACACGTCCGGATCTAGCTGCTGCAGTGGGATCATTATCCCAGTTCTCGTCCGACCCATGCCCGACTCACTGGCAAGCTTTGAAGCGTGTGCTGAGATACCTGCAAGCAACGCCCAATCATGGTCTTGAGTTTACACGTGAAGAAGGAAGCCGTATCTGCGGGTACACCGACGCAGACTGGGCCGGCGACATTGAGTCAAGACGAAGTACAAGCGGCTATGTGTTCATGATGAGCGGAGGAGGCATCAGCTGGAAAAGCCAGAAACAACGGACGGTCGCGCTATCTTCAACAGAAGCAGAATACATGGCGCTTTCCGAAGCAACCAAAGAAGCAGTATGGCTCAAAGTGCTTTTGGGGGAACTTGGTGAGATGACAAGCGACGAAGCGATCAAGATGTATGAAGACAACCAAGGATCAATCGCTCTCGCCAAGAACCCGGAGTTCCATAAGAGAACAAAACACATCGACATACGCTACCATTTTGTGCGTGAGAAGGTGGAATCAGGTGAAGTCGTTTTGGAGTATTGCCCGACTCAAGATATGCTGGCAGACATGATGACCAAGCCGATCGCCGCTGTACAATTTGAAAACATTCGCGATCGACTTGGGATCCAAGGTGCCGCAGCTAACGAGTCGAGAGGGAGTGTTGAAAAGACAGCGGCTGTGAAGAAGACACCTCGTCAAGCTGCGTCAAGTGTTGAAGCAAGTGGAAGACCAAGCTTCGCTATACCGGTGGGTACCGGTATGTACCAGTAAGGGCGAAGTCAGGAAATGACGTCACTGGATGACGTCATTGCATGACGTCAGTGGGTGACGTCAGTGGGTGACGTCACTGGATGACGTCACTGCGAATAATAGGCTTAGAGGTAGTATTCAAAGTTGCGAACTAAGTACCTATTATAAATATATATTCACTTTGCGTTTTGCACTCGGACCAAGAAGTCTAAAGTTCATCACTCAGCACACGCTTCAAAGCTTGCCAGTGAGTCGGGCATGGGTCGGACGAGAACTGGGATAATGATCCCACTGCAGCAGCTAGATCCGGACGTGTGGCGACCATGAGATACATGATGCCTCCGACAGCACTTCGATATGGCACGTTGCACATGGTGTCTTCGTGCTTGCATTCTTGTTCACACATGTTCTTGGTTAGCTTCAGGCCGGGATCTTGAGGCGTCTTCACTGGCTTGCTGTTATCCATTCCGAACTTGGTTAACACGGACTTGAGAAACTTGGTTTGTTGTACAGTCACCATTCCCGTCTTACGGTCGTTCTTGATCTCCATGCCGAGAAAGTAATCGAGCTCACCGAGATCCGTCATTTCGAAGCGTTTGCTCAGCGCCATCTTGGTTGACTTGAGGAGTTCGTTGTTGCTGCTGGCCAGGATGAGATCATCGACGTAGAGCACCACGAGAATCATGTCTTGGTCGTCTCGCTTGATGTAGATGCAGTGGTCCGATTCGCACTTCTTGAATCCCATCTTGATCATGAACCCATCGATTGTTTGGTTCCACATGCGAAGCGATTGCTTCAAGCCGTAGAGTGATCTCTTTAGCTTGCACACATAGTCCGGCTGTGTTGCATCCAGGTATCCGTCCGGCTGGTCCATGTAGATGTCTTCGTTGAGGGAGCCGTTAAGAAACGCTGTCTTGACGTCCATCTGATGTAGCATTAGGCCGTACTTAGCGGCCATACTGAGCACCACACGAATCGATGTGAACTTGGCCACCGGTGCGAAAGTTTCTTCATAGTCAGCTCCGAATTTCTGTGAGAATCCTTTGGCCACAAGTCTTGCCTTGAAACGTTCAACTTCGCCATCTTGATTCTCCTTTACACGAAAAACCCATCGGCACCCGATGGCCTTGCGACCTTTCGGAAGAGGCACGATTTCCCACGTGTCTTTTTTTTTGAAGCGAATCGAACTCCGAGTCACACGCTTCTTTCCACTTGCCGGAGTCGCTTGATTCCATCGCCGACTTGAATGTAGTCGGCGTTTCCCCCACTGAATCAACGATGCAGGCTGCTTCAAAATCCATTGCAGCCGCTGACACATGCTCAAGCGACGGACCTCTGTATGTTCTTCGCTTGGGACTTGGAATGACGGTAGCTTTCTCAAGTGATTGAGTGCGCGTGTGTCTCTTGATGTTGCTCTTCGAAGACCTGGTGTCTTCGTTGTCATCGTCGCTCGAGTCCATGTCGTCGTCAGTTTTACCTTCTTCTTTTTCTTCGTCCTCGTCATGATCATCAAACTCAACGACACTTGACTCATCGTTGTAGTTGCGCGGACCTTCATCAAACTTGTCTTCCATGAATGTGGCATCGCGACTGATCTTGATCGCTCCTGTTGACACTTCCTCAAATCGATATGACTTCTGGTGTTCGGCGTATCCCAGGAAACGACAGAGTGATGACTTGGAGTCGAACTTCGCGCGTTTGTCTTGAGGCACTTGAACATACGCGTGGCATCCAAACACTTTAAGGTTGGCCAGAATCGGTTTCTTCATCGTCCACACTTGATATGGAGACTTGTCTTGGTGAATGACACGTGTTGGACAGCGGTTTCGAAGAAACATCGCCGTCATCACTGCTTCACCCCAGTAGCTCTTTCCCAGTCCAGCGTGTTCCATCATGCAACGCGCACACTCGACCAGCGTGCGATTCATTCTCTCAGCTACTCCGTTTAGCTGAGGAGTATATGGGGGTGTGAACCTTTGTTGTATTCCCCGTTCCGCGCAGAATCGTGCCAGCTTGTCGGACTTGTATTCACCCCCATTGTCGCTTTGAAGGTACTTCACGCGCTTTCCGGTTTGCGTTTCGGCCATCGCAGCGTATTCCATGAACTTCGCCGCAACTTCAGATTTGCTCTTGAGCAGATAGACGACACAGTATCTTGACTTGTCATCAATGAATGTCACGAAGTACCGTTTTCCACTGAAAGTTGCCATCGACATCGGTCCGCATACGTCGCTGTGAATCACTTCGAGGAGTTTGGAGGTGCGAGCTGTAGTGTTTGATTGGAAGCGCACTCGAGTCTGTTTTCCCAGAGCACAACCTTCACACACGTCCCACTTCTTCACCGAAGATATGTCGATGCCAATTCCAATGTTCTTCGTCACGATGCAATTGAGTCCATCGTGACCTATGTGGCCAAGCCGAAGGTGCCAGAGGTACGACTTGGTGCCCCCTTGACATCCCGACGACTTGGCTGCATTTGCTTGTTCCGGCGCCACTGGAGTCATTTGCAGCTTGAACAGTCCTTTACCTTCACGGGCACCAATTTTCCACTTGGTCCCTTTCGCTTCTCCATAGCACCCATCCTTCGTGAACGTCACTGGGCCGACATCCTTGGTGAAGCGGCCGACCGAGAACAGGTTTCTGGATAACTTTGGGATGTGCCACACGTTTGTGAGCACACCTTTCTTCATCCCTTGGGGGTGTCTTCATCGACATGACAATGTCCCCACTGCCGATTGCTTGGACGATTCCATCATCCGCGAGATGGACATCCACAGCGTCAAACCCCTTGTAGTTCCGCATGAACTTCTTGGAGCACGTCATGTGCTGCGTCGCCCCGGAGTCGACCAGCCAGATGTCGCTCGATTTCGCAGATGTCGTTTCACCGATCGAAAAGAGGTAGTCGCCCGAGTCTTCTTCTTGAGCGACGTTTGCACGTTGTGATCGATAGCGGTCGCCGCTGTCTTGAGCACGCTGTGGCCGGTGTCTCTCCGTGTTTTCTTGGATGCGCGAGGGACACTCCGCCATCCAGTGACCAATCTTTCTGCAATTGTGGCACGGCCAGGACTTCTTCACTGGTCGCCCTTTGCGCTGATTGTCCCTTGTGATGAACGCTTGACCTTGCGAAGCTTCATCACCTTTACTTCCTTGCTCCTTCCGCTTCATTTCTTCATGAAGCAGTCGAGACGTCACGAGCTCCCAGCTAAGAGTGTCTGAGCGCGACTCCAAAGCTGTGATCAAGAATTGATACGAGTCACTCAGGCTGCCGAGGAGTGTGATCACCAGATCGTCCTCGCAGACTGGAGCCCCCCACCGCTTCTAGCTGTTCCGCCAGCGTCTTGAGCTTGTTGATGTGTTCGAGCACATCGTCGCCTTCTTCCATCATTGTCGTGAAGAAGCGACGGCGCAAGAACAGCTTGTTGGCAAGACTCTTCTTCTCGAAGTGGTCTTCCAACCTTGACCATGCGTCGCATGCACCACTTGCCGACCGGACCAACGGTAGCTGGGAATCTTCCATGGCTAGACAGATCACTGCCATCGCCTTTCTTGACTTCCTCTTGTACGTCGCTTGGTCCAACTGAGTCTCGCACTGTTCCGCCTTGATCTCACCGCTGACGACCTCCCATAGGTCCCGTTCCTCCAGCACCATCTGCATCTTGAACTTCCAGGCGTGGAAGTTAGTTCCATCGAACTTGGAGATGCGGAGGGAGGAGGCGTCCATGGCAGCTAAGCTTGAATTGTTGGCGGTTTCAGAGTCTGACGAACTTGGGCTCATAACCTGATGAACTTTAGACTTCTTGGTCTGAGTGCAAAACGCAAAGTGAATATATATTTATAATAGGTACTTAGTTCGCAACTTTGAATACTACCTCTAAGCCTATTATTCGCAGTAACGTCATCCAGTGACGTCACCCACTGACGTCATCCAATGACGTCATTTCCTGACTTCGTCCTTACTGGTACATACCGGTACCCACCGGTATAGCGAAGCTTGGTCTTCCACTTGCTTCAACACTTGACGCAGCTTGACGAAGTGTCTTCTTCACAGCCGCTGTCTTTTCAACACTGAGATACCTGCAAGCAACGCCCAATCATGGTCTTGAGTTTACACGTGAAGAAGGAAGCCGTATCTGCGGGTACACCGACGCAGACTGGGCCGGCGGCATTGAGTCAAGACGAAGTACAAGCGGCTATGTGTTCATGATGAGCGGAGGATGCATCAGCTGGAAAAGCCAGAAACAACGGACGGTCGCGCTATCTTCAACAGAAGCAGAATACATGGCGCTTTCCGAAGCAACCAAAGAAGCAGTATGGCTCAAAGTGCTTTTGGGGGAACTTGGTGAGATGACAAGCGACGAAGCGATCAAGATGTATGAAGACAACCAAGGATCAATCGCTCTCGCCAAGAACCCGGAGTTCCATAAGAGAACAAAACACATCGACATACGCTACCATTTTGTGCGTGAGAAGGTGGAATCAGGTGAAGTCGTTTTGGAGTATTGCCCGACTCAAGATATGCTGGCAGACATGATGACCAAGCCGATCGCCGCTGTACAATTTGAAAACATTCGCGATCGACTTGGGATCCAAGGTGCCGCAGCTAACGAGTCGAGAGGGGAGTGTTGAAAAGACAGCGGCTGTGAAGAAGACACCTCGTCAAGCTGCGTCAAGTGTTGAAGCAAGTGGAAGACCAAGCTTCGCTATACCGGTGGGTACCGGTATGTACCAGTAAGGGCGAAGTCAGGAAATGACATCACTGGATGACGTCATTGCATGACGTCAGTGGGTGACGTCAGTGGGTGACGTCACTGCGAATAATAGGCTTAGAGGTAGTATTCAAAGTTGCGAACTAAGTACCTATTATAAATATATATTCACTTTGCGTTTTGCACTCGGACCAAGAAGTCTAAAGTTCATCAGGTTATGAGCCCAAGTTCGTCAGACTCTGAAACCGCCAACAATTCAAGCTTAGCTGCCATGGACGCCTCCTCCCTCCGCATCTCCAAGTTCGATGGAACTAACTTCCACGCCTGGAAGTTCAAGATGCAGATGGTGCTGGAGGAACGGGACCTATGGGAGGTCGTCAGCGGTGAGATCAAGGCGGAACAGTGCGAGACTCAGTTGGACCAAGCGACGTACAAGAGGAAGTCAAGAAAGGCGATGGCAGTGATCTGTCTAGCCATGGAAGATTCCCAGCTACCGTTGGTCCGGTCGGCAAGTGGTGCATGCGACGCATGGTCAAGGTTGGAAGACCACTTCGAGAAGAAGAGTCTTGCCAACAAGCTGTTCTTGCGCCGTCGCTTCTTCACGACAATGATGGAAGAAGGCGACGATGTGCTCGAACACATCAACAAGCTCAAGACGCTGGCGGAACAGCTAGAAGCGGTGGGGGCTCCAGTCTGCGAGGACGATCTGGTGATCACACTCCTCGGCAGCCTGAGTGACTCGTATCAATTCTTGATCACAGCTTTGGAGTCGCGCTCAGACACTCTTAGCTGGGAGCTCGTGACGTCTCGACTGCTTCATGAAGAAATGAAGCGGAAGGAGCAAGGAAGTAAAGGTGATGAAGCTTCGCAAGGTCAAGCGTTCATCACAAGGGACAATCAGCGCAAAGGGCGACCAGTGAAGAAGTCCTGGCCGTGCCACAATTGCGGAAAGATTGGTCACTGGATGGCGGAGTGCCCCTCGCGCATCCAAGAAAACACGGAGAGACACCGGCCACAGCGTGCTCAAGACAGCGGCGACCGCTATCGATCACAACGTGCAAACGTCGCTCAAGAAGAAGACTCGGGCGACTACCTCTTTTCGATCGGTGAAACGACATCTGCGAAATCGAGCGACATCTGGCTGGTCGACTCCGGGGCGACGCAGCACATGACGTGCTCCAAGAAGTTCATGCGGAACTACAAGGGGTTTGACGCTGTGGATGTCCATCTCGCGGATGATGGAATCGTCCAAGCAATCGGCAGTGGGGACATTGTCATGTCGATGAAGACACCCCAAGGGATGAAGAAAGGTGTGCTCACAAACGTGTGGCACATCCCAAAGTTATCCAGAAACCTGTTCTCGGTCGGCCGCTTCACCAAGGATGTCGGCCCAGTGACGTTCACGAAGGATGGGTGCTATGGAGAAGCGAAAGGGACCAAGTGGAAAATTGGTGCCCGTGAAGGTAAAGGACTGTTCAAGCTGCAAATGACTCCAGTGGCGCCAGAACAAGCAAATGCAGCCAAGTCGTCGGGATGTCAAGGGTGATGAACTTTAGACTTCTTGGTCCGAGTGCAAAACGCAAAGTGAATATATATTTATAATAGGTACTTAGTTCGCAACTTTGAATGCTACCTCTAAGCCTATTATTCGCAGTGACGTCATCCAGTGACGTCACCCACTGACGTCACCCACTGACGTCATGCAATGACGTCATCCAGTGACGTCATTTCCTGACTTCGCCCTTACTGGTACATACCGGTACCCACCGGTATAGCGAAGCTTGGTCTTCCACTTGCTTCAACACTTGACGCAGCTTGACGAGGTGTCTTCTTCACAGCCGCTGTCTTTTCAACACTCCCTCTCGACTCGTTAGCTGCGGCACCTTGGATCCCAAGTCGATCGCGAATGTTTTCAAATTGTACAGCGGCGATCGGCTTGGTCATCATGTCTGCCAGCATATCTTGAGTCGGGCAATACTCCAAAACGACTTCACCTGATTCCACCTTCTCACGCACAAAATGGTAGCGTATGTCGATGTGTTTTGTTCTCTTATGGAACTCCGGGTTCTTGGCGAGAGCGATTGATCCTTGGTTGTCTTCATACATCTTGATCGCTTCGTCGCTTGTCATCTCACCAAGTTCCCCCAAAAGCACTTTGAGCCATACTGCTTCTTTGGTTGCTTCGGAAAGCGCCATGTATTCTGCTTCTGTTGAAGATAGCGCGACCGTCCGTTGTTTCTGGCTTTTCCAGCTGATGCATCCTCCGCTCATCATGAACACATAGCCGCTTGTACTTCGTCTTGACTCAATGTCGCCGGCCCAGTCTGCGTCGGTGTACCCGCAGATACGGCTTCCTTCTTCACGTGTAAACTCAAGACCATGATTGGGCGTTGCTTGCAGGTATCTCAGCACACGCTTCAAAGCTTGCCAGTGAGTCGGGCATGGGTCGGACGAGAACTGGGATAATGATCCCACTGCAGCAGCTAGATCCGGACGTGTGGCGACCATGAGATACATGATGCCTCCGACAGCACTTCGATATGGCACGTTGCACATGGTGTCTTCGTGCTTGCATTCTTGTTCACACATGTTCTTGGTTAGCTTCAGGCCGGGATCTTGAGGCGTCTTCACTGGCTTGCTGTTATCCATTCCGAACTTGGTTAACACGGACTTGAGAAACTTGGTTTGTTGTACAGTCACCATTCCCGTCTTACGGTCGTTCTTGATCTCCATGCCGAGAAAGTAATCGAGCTCACCGAGATCCGTCATTTCGAAGCGTTTGCTCAGCGCCATCTTGGTTGACTTGAGGAGTTCGTTGTTGCTGCTGGCCAGGATGAGATCATCGACGTAGAGCACCACGAGAATCATGTCTTGGTCGTCTCGCTTGATGTAGATGCAGTGGTCCGATTCGCACTTCTTGAATCCCATCTTGATCATGAACCCATCGATTGTTTGGTTCCACATGCGAGGCGATTGCTTCAAGCCGTAGAGTGATCTCTTTAGCTTGCACACATAGTCCGGCTGTGTTGCATCCAGGTATCCGTCCGGCTGGTCCATGTAGATGTCTTCGTTGAGGGAGCCGTTAAGAAACGCTGTCTTGACGTCCATCTGATGTAGCATTAGGCCGTACTTAGCCGCCATACTGAGCACCACACGAATCGATGTGAACTTGGCCACCGGTGCGAAAGTTTCTTCATAGTCAACTCCGAATTTCTGTGAGAATCCTTTGGCCACAAGTCTTGCCTTGAAACGTTCAACTTCGCCATCTTGATTCTCCTTTACACGAAAAACCCATCGGCACCCGATGGCCTTGCGACCTTTCGGAAGAGGCACGATTTCCCACGTGTCGTTTCTCTGAAGCGAATCGAACTCCGAGTCACACGCTTCTTTCCACTTGCCGGAGTCGCTTGATTCCATCGCCGACTTGAATGTAGTCGGCGTTTCCCCCACTGAATCAACGATGTAGGCTGCTTCAAAATCCATTGCAGCCGCTGACACATGCTCAAGCGACGGACCTCTGTATGTTCTTCGCTTGGGACTTGGAATGACGGTAGCTTTCTCAAGTGATTGAGTGCGCGTGTGTCTCTTGATGTTGCTCTTCGAAGACCTGGTGTCTTCGTTGTCATCGTCGCTCGAGTCCATGTCGTCGTCAGTTTTACCTTCTTCTTTTTCTTCGTCCTCATCATGATCATCAAACTCAACGACACTTGACTCATCGTTGTAGTTGCGCGGACCTTCATCAAACTTGTCTTCCATGAATGTGGCATCGCGACTGATCTTGATCGCTCCTGTTGACACTTCCTCAAATCGATATGACTTCTGGTGTTCGGCGTATCCCAGGAAACGACAGAGTGATGACTTGGAGTCGAACTTCGCGCGTTTGTCTTGAGGCACTTGAACATACGCGTGGCATCCAAACACTTTAAGGTTGGCCAGAATCGGTTTCTTCATCGTCCACACTTGATATGGAGACTTGTCTTGGTGAATGGCACGTGTTGGACAGCGGTTTCGAAGAAACATCGCCGTCATCACTGCTTCACCCCAGTAGCTCTTTCCCAGTCCAGCGTGTTCCATCATGCAACGCGCACACTCGACCAGCGTGCGATTCATTCTCTCAGCTACTCCGTTTAGCTGAGGAGTATATGGGGTTGTGAACCTTTGTTGTATTCCCCGTTCCGCGCAGAATCGTGCCAGCTTGTCGGACTTGTATTCACCCCCATTGTCGCTTTGAAGGTACTTCACGCGCTTTCCGGTTTGCGTTTCGGCCATCGCAGCGTATTCCATGAACTTCGCCGCAACTTCAGATTTGCTCTTGAGCAGATAGACGACACAGTATCTTGACTTGTCATCGATGAATGTCACGAAGTACCGTTTTCCACTGAAAGTTGCCATCGACATCGGTCCGCATACGTCGCTGTGAATCACTTCGAGGAGTTTGGAGGTGCGAGCTGTAGTGTTTGATTGGAAGCGCACTCGAGTCTGTTTTCCCAGAGCACAACCTTCACACACGTCCCACTTCTTCACCGAAGATATGTCGATGCCAATTCCAATGTTCTTCGTCACGATGCAATTGAGTCCATCATGACCTATGTGGCCAAGCCGAAGGTGCCAGAGGTACGACTTGGTGCCCCCTTGACATCCCGACGACTTGGCTGCATTTGCTTGTTCCGGCGCCACTGGAGTCATTTGCAGCTTGAACAGTTCTTTACCTTCACGGGCACCAATTTTCCACTTGGTCCCTTTCGCTTCTCCATAGCACCCATCCTTCGTGAACGTCACTGGGCCGACATCCTTGGTGAAGCGGCCGACCGAGAACAGGTTTCTGGATAACTTTGGGATGTGCCACACGTTTGTGAGCACACCTTTCTTCATCCCTTGGGGTGTCTTCATCGACATGACAATGTCCCCACTGCCGATTGCTTGGACGATTCCATCATCCGCGAGATGGACATCCACAGCGTCAAACCCCTTGTAGTTCCGCATGAACTTCTTGGAGCACGTCATGTGCTGCGTCGCCCCGGAGTCGACCAGCCAGATGTCGCTCGATTTCGCAGATGTCGTTTCACCGATCGAAAAGAGGTAGTCGCCCGAGTCTTCTTCTTGAGCGACGTTTGCACGTTGTGATCGATAGCGGTCGCCGCTGTCTTGAGCACGCTGTGGCCGGTGTCTCTCCGTGTTTTCTTGGATGCGCGAGGGACACTCCGCCATCCAGTGACCAATCTTTCCGCAATTGTGGCACGGCCAGGACTTCTTCACTGGTCGCCCTTTGCGCTGATTGTCCCTTGTGATGAACGCTTGACCTTGCGAAGCTTCATCACCTTTACTTCCTTGCTCCTTCCGCTTCATTTCTTCATGAAGCAGTCGAGACGTCACGAGCTCCCAGCTAAGAGTGTCTGAGCGCGACTCCAAAGCTGTGATCAAGAATTGATACGAGTCACTCAGGCTGCCGAGGAGTGTGATCACCAGATCGTCCTCGCAGACTGGAGCCCCCACCGCTTCTAGCTGTTCCGCCAGCGTCTTGAGCTTGTTGATGTGTTCGAGCACATCGTCGCCTTCTTCCATCATTGTCGTGAAGAAGCGACGGCGCAAGAACAGCTTGTTGGCAAGACTCTTCTTCTCGAAGTGGTCTTCCAACCTTGACCATGCGTCGCATGCACCACTTGCCGACCGGACCAACGGTAGCTGGGAATCTTCCATGGCTAGACAGATCACTGCCATCGCCTTTCTTGACTTCCTCTTGTACGTCGCTTGGTCCAACTGAGTCTCGCACTGTTCCGCCTTGATCTCACCGCTGACGACCTCCCATAGGTCCCGTTCCTCCAGCACCATCTGCATCTTGAACTTCCAGGCGTGGAAGTTAGTTCCATCGAACTTGGAGATGCGGAGGGAGGAGGCGTCCATGGCAGCTAAGCTTGAATTGTTGGCGGTTTCAGAGTCTGACGAACTTGGGCTCATAACCTGATGAACTTTAGACTTCTTGGTCCGAGTGCAAAACGCAAAGTGAATATATATTTATAATAGGTACTTAGTTCGCAACTTTGAATACTACCTCTAAGCCTATTATTCGCAGTGACGTCATCCAGTGACGTCACCCACTGACGTCACCCACTGACGTCATGCAATGACGTCATCCAGTGACGTCATTTCCTGACTTCGCCCTTACTGGTACATACCGGTACCCACCGGTATAGCGAAGCTTGGTCTTCCACTTGCTTCAACACTTGACGCAGCTTGACGAGGTGTCTTCTTCACAGCCGCTGTCTTTTCAACAAAGGGGGCACCAAGTCGTACCTCTGGCACCTTCGGCTTGGCCACATAGGTCACGATGGACTCAATTGCATCGTGACGAAGAACATTGGAATTGGCATCGACATATCTTCGGTGAAGAAGTGGGACGTGTGTGAAGGTTGTGCTCTGGGAAAACAGACTCGAGTGCGCTTCCAATCAAACACTACAGCTCGCACCTCCAAACTCCTCGAAGTGATTCACAGCGACGTATGCGGACCGATGTCGATGGCAACTTTCAGTGGAAAACGGTACTTCGTGACATTCATTGATGACAAGTCAAGATACTGTGTCGTCTATCTGCTCAAGAGCAAATCTGAAGTTGCGGCGAAGTTCATGGAATACGCTGCGATGGCCGAAACGCAAACCGGAAAGCGCGTGAAGTACCTTCAAAGCGACAATGGGGGTGAATACAAGTCCGACAAGCTGGCACGATTCTGCGCGGAACGGGGAATACAACAAAGGTTCACACCCCCATATACTCCTCAGCTAAACGGAGTAGCTGAGAGAATGAATCGCACGCTGGTCGAGTGTGCGCGTTGCATGATGGAACACGCTGGACTGGGAAAGAGCTACTGGGGTGAAGCAGTGATGACGGCGATGTTTCTTCAAAACCGCTGTCCAACACGTGTCATTCACCAAGACAAGTCTCTGTTGAAAAGACAGCGGCTGTGAAGAAGACACCTCGTCAAGCTGCGTCAAGTGTTGAAGTAAGTGGAAGACCAAGCTTCGCTATACCGGTGGGTACCGGTATGTACCAGTAAGGGCGAAGTCAGGAAATGACGTCACTGGATGACGTCATTGCATGACGTCAGTGGGTGACGTCAGTGGGTGACGTCACTGGATGACGTCACTGCGAATAATAGGCTTAGAGGTAGTATTCAAAGTTGCGAACTAAGTACCTATTATAAATATATATTCACTTTGCGTTTTGCACTCGGACCAAGAAGTCTAAAGTTCATCAGGTTATGAGCCCAAGTTCGTCAGACTCTGAAACCGCCAACAATTCAAGCTTAGCTGCCATGGACGCCTCCTCCCTCCGCATCTCCAAGTTCGATGGAACTAACTTCCACGCCTGGAAGTTCAAGATGCAGATGGTGCTGGAGGAACGGGACCTATGGGAGGTCGTCAGCGGTGAGATCAAGGCGGAACAGTGCGAGACTCAGTTGGACCAAGCGACGTACAAGAGGAAGTCAAGAAAGGCGATGGCAGTGATCTGTCTAGCCATGGAAGATTCCCAGCTACCGTTGGTCCGGTCGGCAAGTGGTGCATGCGACGCATGGTCAAGGTTGGAAGACCACTTCGAGAAGAAGAGTCTTGCCAACAAGCTGTTCTTGCGCCGTCGCTTCTTCACGACAATGATGGAAGAAGGCGACGATGTGCTCGAACACATCAACAAGCTCAAGACGCTGGCGGAACAGCTAGAAGCGGTGGGGGCTCCAGTCTGCGAGGACGATCTGGTGATCACACTCCTCGGCAGCCTGAGTGACTCGTATCAATTCTTGATCACAGCTTTGGAGTCGCGCTCAGACACTCTTAGCTGGGAGCTCGTGACGTCTCGACTGCTTCATGAAGAAATGAAGCGGAAGGAGCAAGGAAGTAAAGGTGATGAAGCTTCGCAAGGTCAAGCGTTCATCACAAGGGACAATCAGCGCAAAGGGCGACCAGTGAAGAAGTCCTGGCCGTGCCACAATTGCGGAAAGATTGGTCACTGGATGGCGGAGTGCCCCTCGCGCATCCAAGAAAACACGGAGAGACACCGGCCACAGCGTGCTCAAGACAGCGGCGACCGCTATCGATCACAACGTGCAAACGTCGCTCAAGAAGAAGACTCGGGCGACTACCTCTTTCGATCGGTGAAACGACATCTGCGAAATCGAGCGACATCTGGCTGGTCGACTCCGGGGCGACGCAGCACATGACGTGCTCCAAGAAGTTCATGCGGAACTACAAGGGGTTTGACGCTGTGGATGTCCATCTCGCGGATGATGGAATCGTCCAAGCAATCGGCAGTGGGGACATTGTCATGTCGATGAAGACACCCCAAGGGATGAAGAAAGGTGTGCTCACAAACGTGTGGCACATCCCAAAGTTATCCAGAAACCTGTTCTCGGTCGGCCGCTTCACCAAGGATGTCGGCCCAGTGACGTTCACGAAGGATGGGTGCTATGGAGAAGCGAAAGGGACCAAGTGGAAAATTGGTGCCCGTGAAGGTAAAGGACTGTTCAAGCTGCAAATGACTCCAGTGGCGCCGGAACAAGCAAATGCAGCCAAGTCGTCGGGATGTCAAGGGGGCACCAAGTCGTACCTCTGGCACCTTCGGCTTGGCCACATAGGTCACGATGGACTCAATTGCATCGTGACGAAGAACATTGGAATTGGCATCGACATATCTTCGGTGAAGAAGTGGGACGTGTGTGAAGGTTGTGCTCTGGGAAAACAGACTCGAGTGCGCTTCCAATCAAACACTACAGCTCGCACCTCCAAACTCCTCGAAGTGATTCACAGCGACGTATGCGGACCGATGTCGATGGCAACTTTCAGTGGAAAACGGTACTTCGTGACATTCATTGATGACAAGTCAAGATACTGTGTCGTCTATCTGCTCAAGAGCAAATCTGAAGTTGCGGCGAAGTTCATGGAATACGCTGCGATGGCCGAAACGCAAACCGGAAAGCGCGTGAAGTACCTTCAAAGCGACAATGGGGGTGAATACAAGTCCGACAAGCTGGCACGATTCTGCGCGGAACGGGGAATACAACAAAGGTTCACACCCCCATATACTCCTCAGCTAAACGGAGTAGCTGAGAGAATGAATCGCACGCTGGTCGAGTGTGCGCGTTGCATGATGGAACACGCTGGACTGGGAAAGAGCTACTGGGGTGAAGCAGTGATGACGGCGATGTTTCTTCGAAACCGCTGTCCAACACGTGCCATTCACCAAGACAAGTCTCCATATCAAGTGTGGACGATGAAGAAACCGATTCTGGCCAACCTTAAAGTGTTTGGATGCCACGCGTATGTTCAAGTGCCTCAAGACAAACGCGCGAAGTTCGACTCCAAGTCATCACTCTGTCGTTTCCTGGGATACGCCGAACACCAGAAGTCATATCGATTTGAGGAAGTGTCAACAGGAGCGATCAAGATCAGTCGCGATGCCACATTCATGGAAGACAAGTTTGATGAAGGTCCGCGCAACTACAACGATGAGTCAAGTGTCGTTGAGTTTGATGATCATGATGAGGACGAAGAAAAAGAAGAAGGTAAAAACTGACGACGACATGGACTCGAGCGACGATGACAACGAAGACACCAGGTCTTCGAAGAGCAACATCAAGAGACACACGCGCACTCAATCACTTGAGAAAGCTACCGTCATTCCAAGTCCCAAGCGAAGAACATACAGAGGTCCGTCGCTTGAGCATGTGTCAGCGGCTGCAATGGATTTTGAAGCAGCCTACATCGTTGATTCAGTGGGGGAAACGCCGACTACATTCAAGTCGGCGATGGAATCAAGCGACTCCGGCAAGTGGAAAGAAGCGTGTGACTCGGAGTTCGATTCGCTTCAGAGAAACGACACGTGGGAAATCGTGCCTCTTCCGAAAGGTCGCAAGGCCATCGGGTGCCGATGGGTTTTTCGTGTAAAGGAGAATCAAGATGGCGAAGTTGAACGTTTCAAGGCAAGACTTGTGGCCAAAGGATTCTCACAGAAATTCGGAGTTGACTATGAAGAAACTTTCGCACCGGTGGCCAAGTTCACATCGATTCGTGTGGTGCTCAGTATGGCGGCTAAGTACGGCCTAATGCTACATCAGATGGACGTCAAGACAGCGTTTCTTAACGGCTCCCTCAACGAAGACATCTACATGGACCAGCCGGACGGATACCTGGATGCAACACAGCCGGACTATGTGTGCAAGCTAAAGAGATCACTCTACGGCTTGAAGCAATCGCCTCGCATGTGGAACCAAACAATCGATGGGTTCATGATCAAGATGGGATTCAAGAAGTGCGAATCGGACCACTGCATCTACATCAAGCGAGACGACCAAGACATGATTCTCGTGGTGCTCTACGTCGATGATCTCATCCTGGCCAGCAGCAACAACGAACTCCTCAAGTCAACCAAGATGGCGCTGAGCAAACGCTTCGAAATGACGGATCTCGGTGAGCTCGATTACTTTCTCGGCATGGAGATCAAGAACGACCGTAAGACGGGAATGGTGACTGTACAACAAACCAAGTTTCTCAAGTCCGTGTTAACCAAGTTCGGAATGGATAACAGCAAGCCAGTGAAGACGCCTCAAGATCCCGGCCTGAAGCTAACCAAGAACATGTGTGAACAAGAATGCAAGCACGAAGACACCATGTGCAACGTGCCATATCGAAGTGCTGTCGGAGGCATCATGTATCTCATGGTCGCCACACGTCCGGATCTAGCTGCTGCAGTGGGATCATTATCCCAGTTCTCGTCCGACCCATGCCCGACTCACTGGCAAGCTTTGAAGCGTGTGCTGAGATACCTGCAAGCAACGCCCAATCATGGTCTTGAGTTTACACGTGAAGAAGGAAGCCGTATCTGCGGGTACACCGACGCAGACTGGGCCGGCGACATTGAGTCAAGACGAAGTACAAGCGGCTATGTGTTCATGATGAGCGGAGGATGCATCAGCTGGAAAAGCCAGAAACAACGGACGGTCGCGCTATCTTCAACAGAAGCAGAATACATGGCGCTTTCCGAAGCAACCAAAGAAGCAGTATGGCTCAAAGTGCTTTTGGGGGAACTTGGTGAGATGACAAGCGACGAAGCGATCAAGATGTATGAAGACAACCAAGGATCAATCGCTCTCGCCAAGAACCCGGAGTTCCATAAGAGAACAAAACACATCGACATACGCTACCATTTTGTGCGTGAGAAGGTGGAATCAGGTGAAGTCGTTTTGGAGTATTGCCCGACTCAAGATATGCTGGCAGACATGATGACCAAGCCGATCGCCGCTGTACAATTTGAAAACATTCGCGATCGACTTGGGATCCAAGGTGCCGCAGCTAACGAGTCGAGAGGGAGTGTTGAAAAGACAGCGGCTGTGAAGAAGACACCTCGTCAAGCTGCGTCAAGTGTTGAAGCAAGTGGAAGACCAAGCTTCGCTATACCGGTGGGTACCGGTATGTACCAGTAAGGGCGAAGTCAGGAAATGACGTCACTGGATGACGTCATTGCATGACGTCAGTGGGTGACGTCAGTGGGTGACGTCACTGGATGACGTCACTGCGAATAATAGGCTTAGAGGTAGTATTCAAAGTTGCGAACTAAGTACCTATTATAAATATATATTCACTTTGCGTTTTGCACTCGGACCAAGAAGTCTAAAGTTCATCAGTCTCCATATCAAGTGTGGACGATGAAGAAACCGATTCTGGCCAACCTTAAAGTGTTTGGATGCCACGCGTATGTTCAAGTGCCTCAAGACAAACGCGCGAAGTTCGACTCCAAGTCATCACTCTGTCGTTTCCTGGGATACGCCGAACACCAGAAGTCATATCGATTTGAGGAAGTGTCAACAGGAGCGATCAAGATCAGTCGCGATGCCACATTCATGGAAGACAAGTTTGATGAAGGTCCGCGCAACTACAACGATGAGTCAAGTGTCGTTGAGTTTGATGATCATGATGAGGACGAAGAAAAAGAAGAAGGTAAAACTGACGACGACATGGACTCGAGCGACGATGACAACGAAGACACCAGGTCTTCGAAGAGCAACATCAAGAGACACACGCGCACTCAATCACTTGAGAAAGCTACCGTCATTCCAAGTCCCAAGCGAAGAACATACAGAGGTCCGTCGCTTGAGCATGTGTCAGCGGCTGCAATGGATTTTGAAGCAGCCTACATCGTTGATTCAGTGGGGGAAACGCCGACTACATTCAAGTCGGCGATGGAATCAAGCGACTCCGGCAAGTGGAAAGAAGCGTGTGACTCGGAGTTCGATTCGCTTCAGAGAAACGACACGTGGGAAATCGTGCCTCTTCCGAAAGGTCGCAAGGCCATCGGGTGCCGATGGGTTTTTCGTGTAAAGGAGAATCAAGATGGCGAAGTTGAACGTTTCAAGGCAAGACTTGTGGCCAAAGGATTCTCACAGAAATTCGGAGTTGACTATGAAGAAACTTTCGCACCGGTGGCCAAGTTCACATCGATTCGTGTGGTGCTCAGTATGGCGGCTAAGTACGGCCTAATGCTACATCAGATGGACGTCAAGACAGCGTCTCTTAACGGCTCCCTCAACGAAGACATCTACATGGACCAGCCGGACGGATACCTGGATGCAACACAGCCGGACTATGTGTGCAAGCTAAAGAGATCACTCTACGGCTTGAAGCAATCGCCTCGCATGTGGAACCAAACAATCGATGGGTTCATGATCAAGATGGGATTCAAGAAGTGCGAATCGGACCACTGCATCTACATCAAGCGAGACTGTTGAAAAGACAGCGGCTGTGAAGAAGACACCTCGTCAAGCTGCGTCAAGTGTTGAAGCAAGTGGAAGACCAAGCTTCGCTATACCGGTGGGTACCGGTATGTACCAGTAAGGGCGAAGTCAGGAAATGACGTCACTGGATGACGTCATTGCATGACGTCAGTGGGTGACGTCACTGCGAATAATAGGCTTAGAGGTAGTATTCAAAGTTGCGAACTAAGTACCTATTATAAATATATATTCACTTTGCGTTTTGCACTCGGACCAAGAAGTCTAAAGTTCATCAGGTTATGAGCCCAAGTTCGTCAGACTCTGAAACCGCCAACAATTCAAGCTTAGCTGCCATGGACGCCTCCTCCCTCCGCATCTCCAAGTTCGATGGAACTAACTTCCACGCCTGGAAGTTCAAGATGCAGATGGTGCTGGAGGAACGGGACCTATGGGAGGTCGTCAGCGGTGAGATCAAGGCGGAACAGTGCGAGACTCAGTTGGACCAAGCGACGTACAAGAGGAAGTCAAGAAAGGCGATGGCAGTGATCTGTCTAGCCATGGAAGATTCCCAGCTACCGTTGGTCCGGTCGGCAAGTGGTGCATGCGACGCATGGTCAAGGTTGGAAGACCACTTCGAGAAGAAGAGTCTTGCCAACAAGCTGTTCTTGCGCCGTCGCTTCTTCACGACAATGATGGAAGAAGGCGACGATGTGCTCGAACACATCAACAAGCTCAAGACGCTGGCGGAACAGCTAGAAGCGGTGGGGGCTCCAGTCTGCGAGGACGATCTGGTGATCACACTCCTCGGCAGCCTGAGTGACTCGTATCAATTCTTGATCACAGCTTTGGAGTCGCGCTCAGACACTCTTAGCTGGGAGCTCGTGACGTCTCGACTGCTTCATGAAGAAATGAAGCGGAAGGAGCAAGGAAGTAAAGGTGATGAAGCTTCGCAAGGTCAAGCGTTCATCACAAGGGACAATCAGCGCAAAGGGCGACCAGTGAAGAAGTCCTGGCCGTGCCACAATTGCGGAAAGATTGGTCACTGGATGGCGGAGTGCCCCTCGCGCATCCAAGAAAACACGGAGAGACACCGGCCACAGCGTGCTCAAGACAGCGGCGACCGCTATCGATCACAACGTGCAAACGTCGCTCAAGAAGAAGACTCGGGCGACTACCTCTTTTCGATCGGTGAAACGACATCTGCGAAATCGAGCGACATCTGGCTGGTCGACTCCGGGGCGACGCAGCACATGACGTGCTCCAAGAAGTTCATGCGGAACTACAAGGGGTTTGACGCTGTGGATGTCCATCTCGCGGATGATGGAATCGTCCAAGCAATCGGCAGTGGGGACATTGTCATGTCGATGAAGACACCCCAAGGGATGAAGAAAGGTGTGCTCACAAACGTGTGGCACATCCCAAAGTTATCCAGAAACCTGTTCTCGGTCGGCCGCTTCACCAAGGATGTCGGCCCAGTGACGTTCACGAAGGATGGGTGCTATGGAGAAGCGAAAGGGACCAAGTGGAAAATTGGTGCCCGTGAAGGTAAAGGACTGTTCAAGCTGCAAATGACTCCAGTGGCGCCGGAACAAGCAAATGCAGCCAAGTCGTCGGGATGTCAAGGGGGCACCAAGTCGTACCTCTGGCACCTTCGGCTTGGCCACATAGGTCACGATGGACTCAATTGCATCGTGACGAAGAACATTGGAATTGGCATCGACATATCTTCGGTGAAGAAGTGGGACGTGTGTGAAGGTTGTGCTCTGGGAAAACAGACTCGAGTGCGCTTCCAATCAAACACTACAGCTCGCACCTCCAAACTCCTCGAAGTGATTCACAGCGACGTATGCGGACCGATGTCGATGGCAACTTTCAGTGGAAAACGGTACTTCGTGACATTCATTGATGACAAGTCAAGATACTGTGTCGTCTATCTGCTCAAGAGCAAATCTGAAGTTGCGGCGAAGTTCATGGAATACGCTGCGATGGCCGAAACGCAAACCGGAAAGCGCGTGAAGTACCTTCAAAGCGACAATGGGGGTGAATACAAGTCCGACAAGCTGGCACGATTCTGCGCGGAACGGGGAATACAACAAAGGTTCACACCCCCATATACTCCTCAGCTAAACGGAGTAGCTGAGAGAATGAATCGCACGCTGGTCGAGTGTGCGCGTTGCATGATGGAACACGCTGGACTGGGAAAGAGCTACTGGGGTGAAGCAGTGATGACGGCGATGTTTCTTCGAAACCGCTGTCCAACACGTGCCATTCACCAAGACAAGTCTCCATATCAAGTGTGGACGATGAAGAAACCGATTCTGGCCAACCTTAAAGTGTTTGGATGCCACGCGTATGTTCAAGTGCCTCAAGACAAACGCGCGAAGTTCGACTCCAAGTCATCACTCTGTCGTTTCCTGGGATACGCCGAACACCAGAAGTCATATCGATTTGAGGAAGTGTCAACAGGAGCGATCAAGATCAGTCGCGATGCCACATTCATGGAAGACAAGTTTGATGAAGGTCCGCGCAACTACAACGATGAGTCAAGTGTCGTTGAGTTTGATGATCATGATGAGGACGAAGAAAAAGAAGAAGGTAAAACTGACGACGACATGGACTCGAGCGACGATGACAACGAAGACACCAGGTCTTCGAAGAGCAACATCAAGA